TCGTAAGAGGCAAAGTGAAGTTGAAATTCTTGAGAAACTTTGAACAAACCATTGCAGTAAGGGCAAAAAAAATTTAAATTTGGAGATGAGGACTACCTGTAGATTGGTCGGAACAAGAACGCCGATAACATACTCAGAAAGGAGACAAGCAAACTACTGTAAATCATCTGAAGAAAAAAACGTGGAGGCGAAAAAGTCACTACAATTTCCACCCACTAATTATTCGCAACATTCAAACAGGCAGAAATTATCAATGTCAGATGCAGCTTCCAGCTTCCAATTACCATTGAAAAAAAAAAATTTATCACAGAAGCCTGAGATATATTGAGGATAATCTAACAGTTACAAGTTGACGTCTAATTTCTAAACAACGCAGCAAGAATTACTACAGCAGACCTATTTTCAGCTCACATTTGTGTGAACATAAATGTTTAACCAAATGAAAAAAAATATAAAAACCCGTAAGTTCCCGAGATCTTTTCAAAAAACTATATACAGGTTATAACATCTGAAAGTAGATGTTTAAAAGAACTATTAAATAAAAAAGGATAAGCAGGCATACGCATGAAACTACCCCATATAAGTAATAAGTTAGGCAACAAATAAGGTATGTAATAAAACAAAGTAATATCAAGGAAAAACTACGGCTGAAAAGAAATTTGTACGTGGTAATGATATAGCCTTTTTCAATCCACCATAAAACCTGCTAATACATCACGGAACAAAGGCTATACAATATTAATATATCAGACCAATACGATTAGTCAAACTTTTTTGTCAAATCAGATTTTAAACAAAATGTCGATGTGACTGAATGAATGAAATATCACAAACAGCAGCAGGGAAAAGCTCTAATTTCCCAGAAGTCGCGCTTTCGCACCTCTCACCTCGTTAATTCTTTTTTCAATCTACAATATAAAGTTCTATGGGTACAACCAAATTTGATAAAATTTCTTGATAGGTTTTAAAGAAACCTGCAACTTGACAAAAAACTATAAAGAAAAGTATTTCAATAAAGTTTTTAAACTTGATATAAAAAAGTGAAGGTGTCATTCCTACAGAGAGCTAAACAGAAATGAACCTGCTCCTTTCTGGCAATCTCCTCCATAATTTCTGTTTGCATTCGATTTAACTTTTCGCTTATGTCACTGAGTGAGGCAAAAAGGGAACTTTCTTCGGCTACCAACGACCACATCGCTTCTAACTAAAATCAAAACGAATTTCTGCTACGTTAAACTTTTATTTTTTTAAAAATGTAAAAAACCGCAAAAATTTATAAAAAATAAAATACTTTCTCTTTGTCGTTTGGAAAATTATTGTTCTGAAAGATATTCGATGAAACAGATATCGACTTCCCGGAAAATTCCTAAACAATAATTTTCTACTAAAAAACAAACAACTTCCTAGCAGAATACTATACAGGTATCAGCACTTTTCCGATATAAAATATGAATGTTCATTGAGAGAAACGTATCAAGTAAAACCTGATTACTATCAATATTTGGTTCAACTTTAACCATCCAACTGCCATCTAAATGACTGTCGCTTGACTCTTCTTTAGGAACTTGGTAATCTGAAGTTAGAAGAAATTTAGGAAAACCAACTTGGCAAAACTGACCATGACCTGTCCGCAAGTTTAACCATTCAAAAGTAATTTACATAGCTAAAACCCTCCTAATTCTGAAAAAAATCACCAGCTATAAACAAAAAGCAATTTATTTCAAATGTAAAGAAACAAATTTTAGAAAAAAATACCAGCGTTTTAATGGAAGTCTTATCTCACAATCAGCATGGAGCAAAAAAGTCGTCCTTAGCAAATTATTATGAGAAAACTTCCAAAATTCTCACTTCACCAATAAAATTTTTCATAATTTACCGTTTTCTAAGCTATGAAGAGAGTCTGAAAGAGGCACTGAAGAACCGCACGATATTGATGCGCTGGAACCACTGGGACAAGAAATACTACTCCCACCAGTAGCAAACTTGAAAAGAAATAGACTATAGAATAAGCTGTAGCCTATTAGGAGAATTCAAACAGTAAAAAAGAAGTTTCAGAAGTTATCATAAAAACAAGCTTTGCCAAACAACTGTGAACAAGAGACTTAAAAACATAAAACTTTTCTTTTCTTAAAACCTGTTTCCAATCCTCTCTTTCCTGAGAAACGGCTTGTTCGTCGGTAGAGGACGAACTACTAGCCTCAACAGGTGACTGCCAAACTGCAGCTTCATTTCCATTGTCCTGAAGAAAAGATTTAGAATGATTGGAGAAAGGCCAGAAGCAAATTTTCATTTTTTAAATACAATTCCAACTTCCAAGTCTTCTTCAATCAGTAAACATACTGAATTTTAAACTTACAAAAGTTGGGGAAAAAACTGTAGGAGTTGCGCCTGAAAATAAATTATGAAACGATCAGGTTCAAGGCTATCACAAGTATCGGTACTGTTAATAATGGGTCTACTTAATATGACAAAACAAATTCAACTCTTTCTACGCATTTCAGAGTAAAGACTATTAGCAGAATAGTTCCAATATCCTTCTACGAATTAATCTTTTTGATCGATTTAGGTGTTTTAATGAATCTATTCTAGCTCGCTCAATCAGTATCCTTGAACTATTGTGCTAAACAGCATCAAAAAAATCGTAAGGTTTCAAACTACAAGTATATCTCAATCTGCTCAATTTGGAGATTGCACGGTTTAAGAGTACAACTTATTTGCAGACGTAGCAATTTAATAATTGAAATACAAGCGTGAAAAGAAAAAAAAGGATGCAGAAGTAATAATGAAATATAGAAATGCTGCAACGTGGAATGCTCAGAGTATTTTTCGGCGGTAACCTACGTAAACTTCAAAAACCTTCGTAAAGCAACTAAGAATAAGGAGTTCGCTGGAGAATTGCTTCAGCTACCACAGCAAAACACAAAGATAGAAAACAACTAGATTTGCAAAGAAGTTTAAGTAAAGAAAATCATAAAAACCATTCTTTTCAATATAAAACACTTTTTTCTGCAAATAAGATGTAAACTCTATTTTCCGCTACAAAAATGAGAGTACACTCTGCAAAAGAAATGAATGCAAGAAAAAAACTGATCAAGATTAGATATAAACCTTAATCAAAAAAGTCATAACTTCTAGTCGTAAATGCAAGTCTGTGGTAGTTGTCGGTCACTTTACTAAAGAATAACTCATTTAATGTTGAATACTGTTCAGATTTCAAAAAATATTTATCGCAACCTTTTGCAAAAAAAAAAAACTACCTTGTAACGTCATACAAAACGCTATCTCTTCACAATGATGCTTCAAAACAAAAAACTTTGTCATACTTGAATACTGCATCGAAACTCTTTAGTTAACCTTCTTAAAAACCCAATACCCAGTAAACAACACCTAACCCACTAACACCAGAAATTTCTTTGTAAACCCATTTTTTCAGAAAGATAATCTCCAAATAGCCAACTATAAAACGGGAGAAATTTCGCCCCAAACTTGTCCACCTCACACTCATCAAACGTTGACTACTTTGAAAATTTCTTTGGCTTATAGATAAATGCAGTAGTTTTAGCAATAGCGCTGAAACTTTCTAGCTTTCCCAAGTAACTTGAAATGAAAATACAAGTTCCAACGGCAAAATTCATTAATTGTTTTAAAAAATTACTTGGCCCAGCCGAAATTGTGTGAACATAAAACGTTGTCTGAGGCTCGCTCTTTATTGGAGGTCTCTCTAGTCTGCTAGGAACTAGGCGGTATTTTGAATGTCTGTTTTTGCTCATCATAATATGTAAATTTTTTGAAAATAATGCTCTGCCCTTCAAAGCCATTTTCTCATACCTAAAATAAACGTTATAAGAAAATAAAGTTCCAAAGCGATGAGTATTTGGCCGTTATTATGAGAACACAAAATCACTTAATTACTAAAAAAATTGGTTACGGAAAAGCTTACTTCCTTTTCGGATCAATTCTTAAGCTTTTACATGACAGCGAATAGCGGGGTTTCCTGTTAGCGTGTTCCAAAACTGGCATTAATTGCTTTTCAAAAGTCGTTTTTGAGAAACCAGCATGATTTTCTGTAGACAAATTAGAATCGTTCTTTTCAGACACACCTGTAAACTCCATCCAAATAAAATCAATGCCAATTTCTTCATTAAAATGTGGCAGAAATGTATAATTATGACGTTTAAACATACGTGGAAGCAGTACAAAATCACACCTAACAAAATACTAAAATTTAAAAATTAAGAAATCAGCAGATAAAAATAAGGCACCCAATTTTTCCTAATAATACTGATGAACGTAGCTTAATTTTTGTCTTCTTTAACCGCACTTGTAATAAAGCACCTCTAATAACTGTTTAACTGTTATTTTCATGTTACTTTTACGTTACTCATGTTCAAATACTAACAATTTCCTAGATTTCAACCCAAAACGTCTCTACGTCTCTAAAAATTGAAAAAAAAAAAAAAAAAAAAAAAAA